AGGGTTTAGGGTAGGGTTTAGAGGTTGTTGTTGAAGGCCTCTGTTCCTCCTGCTTCGTTCTGCTCTATAGGGATTGTCTGTTGAGAGGCTTAGGGTGAAGCGCTTTGATAAGGGGATAAGGAGTTGGGGAGTTCCGAATATAGGGGACCCCAATATAGTACCCTGTTTGGTAGGATCCTTATTATAAGGACCCCAAAGTAAGAACCCCTTGTTCTCTGAAACTCCCAGTTAGGGGTTGAGGAATCCAGGGCTCCAGGGGTCTCGCATTCTAGGGTTTCAGTTTACTCGGTGGACGGCAGGGGGGGGTATCTTTTAGGGGATAGTTTTTGAGATTAGATGCTTGCTTCTGTGGGCAGAAGGTAAGCTGTGGATGTTCGGGGGTTTCAGGGTTGAACAAACCTTGCAGGAAGTGACACCTTTACACTTGTTTTTGGCGGCGTGCACTGGGATACCTGAGGAAAGGACCTTCCGAAGTCCTTGTCTAATCCCCGCTCCTGAACCTGCATCCTGAAACGAAACGCACCCCTACCCCGAACCCTCAACTGCGATTCTCTCGAGTCTGAAGCCTCGGAGCCTGCTGCCAGGAGCTCCGAAGTGGACTTCGAATCAGAACTATCGACAGACATGTCACCATAGGACATGCTCATACGAGATACACACTCTCCAAAACCCTCATCTCAAGTCCCCCCTTCCTGAATATGAGTAGTTCTCTGAATTCGGGTCCATTCTTAGGTCCCCAATATAGTACGGCACCCGTATAAAAAGGATCCCAAAAGGGACCCTTATTTAGACAACTACCCAGATGATGCTATGGTTCGACCTGCGGAGCTGATGGCGGCAGTGGCGCAGCCACATGTCGACCAGCTTGGCTGCGCGAGGAGGGCACTGCGCTGGCCGAGCAACAACCTCCTCATGGTTTAGGGTTTAGGGTTTAGGGTTCAGGGTTTAGGGTTTAGGGCTTGGGGGCTTCATAGGCTAAAGCCAGGCTGTGCTTGAGGATTGAGGGTTGAACGTTGCATGTTTAGGTTTACTGGCTACTGTTGGCAGGGTGCAGGTCATCGCCAGGGGCAAGAGTTTGGATTATCCTCCCTTGTCGTGGAGCCGGATCCTACGAGAAGGGTCCACTTGCAGGCAGAACCTGTAGGCATCCTTGCTCAATTCCCTGAACAGACGGAGCAAGCGTTGCAGTACTCAGATACTCCAGTATACAAGATGGCAGAGCTGAGCACCATGGCATTCTTTTTGTTGTCCACACCTTCACGAAACTATTTGTTGGGGGGCGTGACGCTGCTACGGGTGCCTCTGCAAGCTCTGGGCCAAATCTTAAACCCTCCACTTGGAGGTTCATGGGTAGTTACAAGTAGGGTTATAAGTAGGGTAACTATAGCTATAACCTATATTAGGGGACTTCTAACTCCATGTATAACTACCCATGAACCTCCAAGCACTCTCTGCATCCAGGGCACGCGACGAGGGAGGGCCCAGGGCGCTGAGTGGCCGAGACGAGGGCACCGCTGTGCTGACCCCGGTCCTAACCAAGGCATGGCCCGGTGAGTCCAAAACCCTAAGTCATCTAGACATGCCGCAGAAGGTTAAATCCAAAACATGAGAGATGCATGCATGCGTCCATTCCTGCAGCCATATGTGCACCCATACCGATATGTCCATAAACCCATGTATGCATGAACATGTATGTGCTGCTCCATCGTATGTGCATACAAGTATAGATATATATATATATATGGATATATATATATGTATATATATATATAGATATATAGATACAGATATAGATACATATATGTATATATAGATATAGATATAGACATAGAAATACATACATACATACATACATACATACATACATACATACATACATATACATATATATATATATATATGTGTGTGTGTGTGTGCGTGTGTGTCTGCATACACGTACACATGCACATGAGCATACACATACACATGCTGTTTCCACATACATACATATATATATATGGTCGCCCCCCCCCCCGTTGACAGACCATGCCCTCTCAACTGAGTAGATGTGCATGGTGTGTCATCGGATGGGTGGCGATCAGCCCTCACAAACTCAATTCCAAAATTTCCAATATTCTCGCCCCTAACTTTCCGGATTTCCAAAAT